CATCCAGCTGTACACTTTGTTATCTGCATATGCAAAAAAGGCATACTGAAACGAAGGGGTGAACTAGCTTTTAAATCCTGTTCTTGTATGTTTTTGAAAGAGAAAGACTCAAAGACACATCCCTTAACTCAGGCTAGTCTAGTTGGTTCATAGAAATCATAGAATCCCTACAGTCTGGAAACAAGCCCTCTGGCCCAACAAGTCCACACCGACCCTCAGGGCACCCACCCAAACCCGTTCACCTACAACCCACCTAATCTATGCATCCCTGAACACTACAGGCAATTTAGCGTGGCCAAACCACCTAACCTGCACATCTTTGGACTGTGGGAGGAAACCAGAGCACCCGGAGGAAACCCACGCAGACACGGGAAGAATGTGCAAACTCCATGCAGACAGTCGCCTGAGGGTGGAATCAAACCCAGGTCCCTGGCGCTGTGAGGCAGCAGTGCTAACCACTGAGCCACCGTGCCACCCCAAAACAACACCTTCTTCAGAAAGTGGTTTCTAATACCTATTTCACAATATGAGATAACCCGCAGGAGACTACATTTCAGTTTATACTGTATTTTCTCCCCTTTAGGTCCAACCCTTTGACTTTCCTTGATATTCCATCAGATGTGACATACCATGTCTTTCTCCAGACAGCTACTGGATTTACATCTACACTTATTTTGGCTGAATCAGCCCTCTTTTATCATAGAATCCCTGCAGTGTGGAAGCAGGCCATTCAGTGCATTAAGTCTGCTCCCACCCTCCGAAGAACTGCCCACCCAGACCCTATCTCTGTAAAACTGCATTTCCCCATGGTTAATCCACTTGGCCTGTAGATCCCTGAACACTACGGGCAATTTAGCACGGCCAATCCGTCCAACCTGCACATCTTTGGACTGTGGGAAGAAACCGGAGCACCTGGAGGAAACCCACACAGACACATGGAGAATGTGCAAACTGTACACAGACAGTCACCTGAGGGTGGAATCAAACCTCGGTCCTTGGCAATATGAGGCAGCAGTGCTAAGCACTGGGCCAACCGTGCTCCCCCAGCATAGGTTTCTAAGACCTATATTGGAATTAAAAGCTATGTTGGAATCAAAGTTCAGTGTCTGCATAGGTCACATGGGTTATAATGTGTGGCCATGACACTGTTTGCTGTGTAGAATCTGACTGCTACATATCAGTTGCTTTTTCTGTATATTTGCACTTTACTCTTTAAGGTAATATTCGCAGAAACTGTATGACAGAGTGCAGGTTCCAACCACCTACTTGTGAAAATTTGCCCTAATCATTGGCATTGAAATGCCTGACTTTGGTCTTTTTTTTGTATTATTCTCTGCTGGGTGTGATCACCTTGCTCTGGAACACCTTTAAAAGGTTTTTCTCTGTAAGCCTGTGGTGTTGAGGTGATGGATTGATGCCTTTTCATTCAAGGATATCTCTCCGGAGCCGACTTCTGATTACAGGGCTGCAGGTCCTGTCATTTCCTTTCACCGGACATTTATATCCAGCTTGAAAGTTATAAGCTCAGTGTAGGCTAGATGTCAATATCTTTCAGCACCTTTTACTCTTGAAAGCTCTGTTTGCTCAAAGGTATATTGAACTGCTTTGTGTGCATGTTATATTTTGTGCGACAGGCTAATAAAGAGATCTCGTTTATATCTTCCTTATTAAAACCTTCCCCTTCACAATCTGTATTGCTTCTCATGCTTTATTAAGTACAAATAGTATTGCTGTCCAAACAGAAGGGCTAGTCAGAAGTCTAGCAGTCTATATCTTTCATGTTTTCAAATTAGCTCCAGGAAAAAGTGCAAGGGTGCTCACTTATATCCTTTGATTTTTATGACCTTTAATGCTCTCTCCATGACTCCACCCTATTGCCTATGTCTCCTGCCACACCACTGAAATCTAGCACTTACTGAGTCTTGTCTGAGGAGTAGATCGCAGTTACTGAGTGTCTGGATTATTGTCAAATGGCCACTCTTCATTGTAAGAGCTGCAGTGCTGCATGTTGACATGTTGTCTGCTTTGTCCTCGAATGAGGTTTGCACAGGCCCGCGTGCACACCCCAACAACATACAAACACACCCTAACACTGTATTGATACAAATGTACTCTCAAACCATAAAAACAAATACAGGCAGGTACTAAACACATACAAATGATGCACAGGTGGCTATCAAAGATCCAACAGCACCGTTCAAAAGTTAGAAAGGGAGTTCTATGCAATGCCCTGTCCAATATTTATCCCATTGCCAAAGCTGCTAATAAAAAGATTATCTGGTCATTATGTCATCAATGGTAAAACTCTTTGGGACATTCTGAGATCAGAAAAAGCACATCAGAAAGTACAGGTCCCCTTCTATGTGTTTGTTTTAAATCTGTGGTTCTTCAAAGAAATTGCATTTACTGCCAGATTCTTTCCTGTCTGAGGAATAGCTTGCAATTACTGAGTGTCTGCATTATTTAAATAGCCACCTGGCTATTTAAACCAGAAATAAAAGATGAAATCAGCCCCTCTGTTTTTTTGTTTAAGTACTCTAATTGTTGGGGGTCTAATTTAACATGGTTACATTGTGGATTATGTCAATAATGATGTATCAAAAGAAACAAGTACTCCTCTGTGTGTATACGCAAACATAGATGCACACACATGCAGACATATACAAGTACATACAATCATTGCCTTGTCTGGAAAGACATCAGACAGGAGTTTCCACGGGGTGCTCCCACTCATGCATCATAACTTCAATGTAGGAAGGACAGTAGCTCCACAATTGCAATACTAAAGGTCTGTCAGTAAAAGAATTCGGGGCATCAGGTCCCTGCATTGCTAGCCTGTGTAATGAAGGCTGGGATCCTGTGTAAGCCGTGTAACTGTTACATTCGTCAATTTGTGGTGAAGCAATCCAGAGATAACCCTGAGCCCCATACAGATCAGAGTCCTTTGTGTTGCATTTTCAGCAGAATAAAGTTTAGTCTCAAAGACAGCTGCTGATTAAACCTTCATTAAAAACAACTCTTTATCACTGAAACTTTCTGAAAGTGCTTGGGGACATTGATGCCAGGGTGAATATGAATCAGTATTGACGGCATTCTTAAAACACAAAGACTTTGAAGGTCAAGAGATGATTCAATGGTAATTTAAGCTTCATTTCTGCATTTTTAATCCATTGGAAATCCTGAAACTCTTTGATCTTGTGGATTTTTTTAAACTATCCTGGGAATGATCTGACAGAAATCTTTGCTAGTTATTTGAGCTGGGCTTTGTTGCTAGAGTCTTGCCTTTGATTTTCTTTAAAGTAATGCTCTGTCTGTCTTGTGCTTTTTACAGTGCCACCACAGATCGTTGTGAGACCTCGAGATCAGATTGTAGCTCAGGGCCGCACCGTGACCTTCCTCTGTGAGACGAAGGGGAACCCTCCTCCCGCTGTCTTTTGGCAAAAAGAGGGAAGCCAGGTGGGATTTGTCCCAGTTACACAACAGCTCAAACTCAAACTTGTCTATTGTTCCTCACCAGGCAGGAATCTGAGACATTTAGATGGGAGAGTTGGGGTGGGGGTGGGGGGTGTGCTGGAGAACATCAGGTATAGTTCAAACCTTTCACCCAGTGTGCTGAATCATATCCTTGTATTTTAATACACAAATAAAAGCAGGAAATGCTGGGAATTGCTCAGCAAGTCAGGTAGCTTCTGTGGAGAGAGAAAGAGTTTTGAGTTAAACCAATAGAGTAGCCAAAGGAAAAGTTTTCGTCCTCATGAAACCTGAGCTGGGTGTAACTAATGGTGAAGTAAAAGCGTATTCCAGAGCCCAGCATAGAGGTCGCTCAACTTCAGCTTGCACATAAAATAATAAATTACATACTTACAGACAAGGCAACTCTTCCCACAAGTTTATTTGCTTGCAGATGATAAAGGCTCTTTTAAGAGCTCCTCAGCTTTAATGTGTAGGAACTGGTTTCTAGGATTTGCGAGTGCTTTTCAAGAGCTGTTAGACTTCCATGTGACTGATTCTGTTAAAAATTTGAGTGGAGAAAGCGTCTTAGCAAACACTGTTCTTCAGAGCCATTACTGTAACCACAAGGCTCCAAACCCCAAGGAGACGGTCTGTAAGGTTAACTGTTACATTTAAACAGCGGTATTTCTCTGTAAAGTCAACCCAGCTGTTCAATGTATCCTATTGCTGTCAGTAAGATTATTCTCAGTGATTGAATAAAGGACACTTTAAAGAATGAATTTTCAGGGTCTATTACCCATTTTGCATCTTGGACTCATCATGTTAATTGACCCTCTTTTAATCACCTTGGAACTTTACCATTCACCCTGCTGTTAGCTCAGAATACAAGCACCTCACTCTTGTGTATGATTATTTGAAGTATTAACTGTTTTCATAATCTACACCTCCTGATATTTCCAGATGAAAATCTAATTGGAAAGCTATCATCAAAATATTTGCATATAGAATTCACTTCTTTGTCATTCTGTCATTGGAGCTGCAGTTTAGGTACAAAACCAGAAAATATTGAAATGCAGTGCTTCAAGAAGATAGTTCACCAACACCTTCTCGAGGGCAACTAGGGATCGGCAATAAATGTTGGCTCAGCCAATGACACCTATTCCCAGGACATCGTTCCATGGTCAGAACCACTTAGGTGTGCAGAGACTTTGGAGGATACTTAGGGGTTACATCATCTCAAAAGGTGACATGGAAAACGCCAAAGACATTTGATTACTAAGTAACAAGAAGTGATGAAAATCATCAAAGTAACTTAGTGTGACAAAGTAAAATGTTAACATGAGAAATTGGGCGTTGCTTAGGAAAACACTGTCTTGTGCTTATTTTTCCTTCTTGCCTGCTTCGTATTTAATTCATATTCCTCCTGTCTTTATGATGTTCACATCTTGCTGCGTTCTAGTTCTATGGATACCAACTGCCACAAACTGATTACTGTTCCAATGTGAATTTTGACATTGAGTAAGAAAGATAATTGATGCAAAGTATTTTGCAGTGAGTAAAATATTTCAGTCATTCTTGTGATTAAGGAATGCAGCAAGCAATGTTCACAAATCAAAATCCCGCAAACAATAATGATAAATGGTTTGTGTGATGTCGAGTGAGGGATAAATATTGCCCAGAATACCAGGGAAAATGCCCCTGCTAATCTATGAAATAGTGGGATTTTTATTATCACTTGAGAAGCAGATATGACCTTGATTTAATATTACATCTAAAAGAAGTCACTTTAGACAGTGTAGCGCTCTCAATAGCAGAACCATTCTGAGGAAGGGTCACAGGACCCAAAACATTAATCCTGCTTTCTCTCCACAGATGCTGCCAGACCTGTTGAATCTTCGTAGCAATTTCTGTTTTTGTTTCTGACTTCCAGCTTCCACAGTATTTGATTTTTCTGTCCTGTACTGCTTTCCTGTCTCTGGAGTAGAACTATTAAATAGTTGGAGTTGAAACGGGCCAGAATTGACTTAATGCTGAGCTGTGATATCGTTTACACATGCTCTCTCCAGCAAATAAAAACGAGGAGCAGAAAAAAAACAAGTTGATTTATCCGCAGCTCGCTCTTTCTGATAGCAATTATAATCTAAGTGAGATCAACTAAACCTGAAATTGAACCTACGTTATGCAAATGCTGTGTGGTTACCCAGTAAAATCAACTGTGGAGCTTGAAGGTGTATCGTCGAGCATGAGGTTCCACCTTAACAAGGTTAAAGCTGTTGACTGTTGCATATTGCAATTTGTTTTACACTGGAACATTGGACCTGGCACGGCATGAGTGATAGCAGAGTGCCTCAATCAGCTAGAGGCACCTTGTAAACCAGAAACAGACAGGCGACTGTCACGAGGATGGATGAATGAGCCTGGTGGTTGCCAGGAGCCAAACTGTGACTGCTGAGCTTGTTTCTGGATTCAGTGGAGCCCATTCTAAATCCGATTAGTTTTCATTGTGCATTTATAAAACTATTGGCCTTCAGTTTTATTTTCTTGGCCTCCAGTTTCTATCTATGTTAACAACTGGCTTAAATAAGTTTGGTTATTGCTGATCATGATCAAATTAATTAGTTGGTAAAGATACTAATAATAGTAACCGAAAGAACTGCGGATGCTGTATAAATCAGAAACAAAAACTGGAATTGCTGGAAAAGCTCAGCAGGTCTGGTAGCATCTCTGGAGAGAAATCAGAGTTAACGTTTCGGGTCTGGTCATTGATTCTGATTTCTCTTCACAGATGCTGCCAGATCTGCTGAGCTTTTCCAGAAATTCCCACTAATAATAGTACTATTTTGGTGGGTAGCATTGTCTTCAGTCTGTGTTTCGCATCTACTCCCTGCTTAAGTCTATGTCTCACACACTCCAGCTTAGGCATTGTGGGATTGTAGGGCTTTTTTTTTTCAGGTAATTGGCACAAAAGCCAGGGTGCATCTAGAACCTATTTCCTAAAATGATGATAGAACCAGAGCAGCATCTTAAAAAAGGGAATTAGATCAATATTTGTAGGGGAGAAAACCCCAAGGTTGTGGGAAAACAGCAAGGGGAGCGAGGCTAATTGGATAACTCTTACAAAGAGTCAACACAGGAATAGTGGGCTGAATGGCCTTCTGCTACCGTGGGTGATTCTATGATTCCTGCTTGGATGTTAATGAAATATGAAGTCGGAAAACGTCAGACTTCATTGGTTTCAGAGAGCAATGCAGTTCTAAGTGCAGCTGTTCCATGCTTGGAGTAATACTGGAGAAAGCGTAGTCCACCTCACAATGATAATTCCAGTGAAGTGAGTGGGGTGCGTAGGGGTACTCTACCTTTGGGTGTTCAATTATATAATCCCAGGATGAAAAATGGCTATTAGTATGTCTGTTACTGTTATGGTGACATGTACAAGAATCATCTTAGAATCATAAAATCCCTACAGTGTGGAAGCAGGCCGTTCGATCCATCAAGCCCACACCAATCCTCCAAAGGGCATCGCACCTAGCTCCACTCCCTACCCTATCCCTGTAATCTTGCATTTCCCATGGCCAATCCAGCTAACCTGCACATCTTTGGACTGTGGGAGGAAATGCATGCAGACACAGGGAGAATGTGAAAACTCAACACAAACAGTCACCCAAGGCTGGAATCGAACCCAGATCCTTGGTGCTATGAGGCAGCAGAGCTAACCACTGACCACCGTGTTACCCCCTGACAAGAATCCAGTCATAGTGTCACATATAAGTTTAAGTAAGTTTTCTTATTGTAAATTGATGCCCATGCACCTTCCAAACCAGTGAAATGTTCCACCTCGAAGAACAAGGTAACAGATGGAGGGGAATACCACTACCTGCAAGTTTCCCTCCAAACACATATCATCCTGACTTGGAACTACAGGGAAAGTCCAGTTTAATGCTTATTTCACTTGACGTATGTGAGCTTATGGATCCAACCCATTAGCCGATCTAACTCCCCACCTCGATCTTGGCCTGACTCCACCCCCACTCCCAGCTCCCTTTACCTCCTTGATGAATCCAACCCTGACTGCCTGACTGCTCTCCTCCGCTCACTTCTCTCACTTTCCTTTCTGCCACGTGGGATGATCTATCCACAGTTCAATTATAACACAGTCTCACTTTTGGAGCCAGATGATTGCAATTATAACAAACTTTCATCATTCATCATGTTTCTTCACTGGGTCAAAATCCTGAAATTTCCTTCCTAAACACCCAGTGGGAGTGTCTCCACTACATGGAGAGCAGCAATTCAATATGGTGGCTCACTATTGTAACTAATGAATTAATTGCAATGGAAATGAGCAATAAATGCTGGGATAGCCAATGATGCCCACATCCTGTGAACAAACAAATGAGAAGAAAGGCAAATGTGGTAGCAAACAGAGCACATTGCATTAAGCTATCAGCATGTTTAGTGTCTCCAGGTCTGGAATGCTGCAGATTATATGTGCGTATGCCTGTTCAATGAGCAATTCAATTTCAATTGCCAGGGAGCAGCTTTGACTGAAACAAATTTTATGCTTCTGTTTCTTTACTACAGATCCTGCTTTTTCCCAGCCAGCCTCAGCCTTTGGGGCGTTTCTCTGTCTCTCCGAAAGGTGAACTGACAATTACCGATGTGCAGTCAGGTGATTCTGGATATTACATGTGTCAGGCAATCAGCGTTGCTGGCAGCATCTTATCCAAGGCCCTCCTGGAGGTAGAAGACGGTAAGTCCAAGAGTGCCTGATACCTACACCCCAGCTGCCTATGTAAATTGAAGGAAACAAATTGATTTTAATCAAATGACTTGCTGAAAGAAGGACTAAAAAATTAGATTCAGACCATGATAGCAAGGCAGAACTGAGAAATATTCCAAGCAAAGGTTACAGTAGTTCTGTCACCCTCAAGGCTGAGGCCAGCTTGGTTCTCAAAGAATCCCTAGTGTGGAAGCAGGCCATTTGGCCCATGAAGTCCTCCACCCAGACCCAACCTCACCCTGCACTCCTCCTAGCCAATCCGCCTAACCTGCACATCTTTGGACTGTGGAAGGAAACTGGAGCAACCAGAGGAAACCCACACAGACACTGGGAGAATGTGCAAACTCCACACAGAGAGTCACCTGAGGTGGAATTCAAACTCAGGTCCCTGGTGCTGTGAGGCAGCAGTGCTAACCACTGAGCTACTGTGCCATCCAGGTTCTGTTGGCACTTTGGATCAAGCTGGGTTAGCTGGGGTCAAAGGTCATGTGAAATAGTATGGAGCAGCATATAAAACTATTAACTAATCCAGAGCCTCACAATACCAATACAGCACCTAAGCAGATAATTATAACCAGGTAAGTTAGATTTTTACTCAATTAACATTGATGCATGGAAGATGATAAAAATCTCTGGTTGTTCAACACCAGGTAGTGGGATTTGAAGTACTCAACCCATATGTGAATTGAGAATCACCTGTGAGCCTATAAAGAAAGCTATTGTTATTACCTGCTCTGCAATCATCATTTTCTGAGAGACTGGATCTCAGTAGGAACTGGATTAAAATCATTTTTCAGCAGGAAAGGGTGTATACTCTTTCTTGGGTGCAGGTCATCACAGGAAGGATTCCATGCTGTTTGGGAGAATGATGGTGAGATGACCCACAATTAGACTCTTGATCATCAGTTAAATGGAAATAATTTTGAGGCATCATTTTTCAAGAGTGCAAGAGCGTATCTAATGTGTCCACGTAGTCCTAACTTCTAAGCATAGAGCCAGTCAGTAGGGTGGAGTTGATTTGTTGTAAATAGTGATCCCATTGAATTAGACAAAGGTTCTGCATGACTTGGCAAGCGGCATGCTGCCTCAGTGCTGAGAGCTCTAGGGACCCAGTTCGATTCCAGCCTTGGGCAACTGTCTCCCTGTGTCTATGCCAGATTTCTTGGGTGCTCCGGTTTCCACCTACAATCCAAAGATGTGCAGGTGTGGTGGATTCGCCATGCTAAAATTACCCTTAGTGTCTGGCAATGTGGAGGTTAGGTGGAATAGCCATGGGAAATGTGGGATTATATGGATAGGGTAGGGGGATGGATCTGTGTGGGATGCTGTTCGAAGAGTCGGTGCAGACTCGATGGGCCAAATGGCCTGTTTCCACACTGTAGGGATTCTATGATTCTATAATAGAAAGAAAAGATGTTTCCACTGGCTACATGGGTCTAGAACTGAGGAACAGACTCTCAGTATAAGGGGGTGGCCATTGGGACTAAGATGAGGAGGAATTTCTTCACTCGGAGTGTGATGAATCTTTGGAACCCTTCACTTCAGACCGTCATGGAAACTCAGTCATTGAGTGTTCAAGACACAAATCAATCAATGTTTAGATACTAAAGATATAATGTTGTGAGGGGGATGGTGTGGGAAAATGACATTTTCGTAGAAAGTCGGCCAGTTGGCCTACTTCTCTTGTTTCCTATGTCCATAAATTGGCTGAGTAAGATCAGTCAAAAATTATGACTGACATTCAGTCTGTTCAGCAGTGGATCAATAACCAAAGGAGCACCCACTGTGTGAAATTCCCATTGATCTCACCAATCAACTCTAAACTCTGTTTGAATGAGGTTTCGGATTGGGACAAAATCACTGATTGCTCTGTGCTATGGCTCCCATAAGCAGGAAGAGTGGCCAAAGTGTGTCATAATTCAGCAGCTTCTTCAGGCTGGTTTTAAACCTGAGTTATAGAAAATGAAAGATAGCTCTTTAGACCTCCATGGCATCTGTGCTCCTCCAGTGTGGCCACTCTGTGCTTGTTATTGTTATTGATTGTCTAATTCATTGCCACCAGGGTACAGTTAACTGGGTATGTTAAGGTGGATTGAAACATGCAGAACACGTATCCTGGAGGAGCTTTAGAAGCCATTGGAAATTCAGTTCCTGGGGAGGTTGGACTAGTCACAGCACAAGTATGGCGGAATGGTTTATTGCGCAAAAATAACATTTTTACGAGAGATTTTCTCCACTTCAATATCCATCATGACAATGACTTGCTATACAGAAACATTAACATAATTCAGCATCCCAAAAATATAAGGGGGAGGCAATGCCTTAATGGTATTATTGCTGGACTGTTAATCCAGAGACCCAGATAATGCTCTGGAGACCCAGGTTCGAATCCCACCATGGCAGATGGTGGAATTTAAATTCAATAAAAATATCAGGAATTAAGAATCTAATGATGACCATGAGTCCATTGTCGATTGTTGCAAAAACCCATCTGGTTCACTAATGTCCTTTAAGGAAGGAAACTGCCATCCTTACCTGGTCTGGCCTACATGTGATTCTAGACCCACAGCAATGTGGCTGACTCTAAACTGCCCTCTGGGCAAATAGGGATGGCCAATAAATGTTGCCTAGTCAGTGATGCCCTCGTTCCATGAATGAATTAAAAAAAGGCTCTTCAGAGATACATTATGAAGCAAACTTTGACACTCTAAAGCTATGTAAAGAGAAATTTGGGTGCATGACCTAAATCTTGGTCAAAGGAGTCGATTTTAATTGTCCTGTTAAGAGAAGATATTTTTTAGGTGTGAAGAGAGAGATTTAAAAAAGACATGAGGCACATTTTTTACAGAGAGTGGTTTGTCTGGGGAATGAACTTCCTGAGGAAGTGGTGGCTGTGGGTACAATTACAACATTTAGAAGACACTTAGATAAGTACATGAATAGGAAAGATTTGGAAAGATTTGGAAGGATATGAGCCAGGAGCAGACAGGAGGGACTTGTTTAGTTTGGGATTATGTTCGGCAAGGACTTGTTGGACTGAAGGGTCTGTTTCTGTGCTGTATGACTCTGCCTGTAAGAGAGGAAGAGGTGGAGAGATGAAGGGAAAGGATTCTAGAGCTGAGAGCTTTGACAGATGAAGGTATGGTCACCACTGCTGGAGCGGTTAAAATCAGTTTTCTTTCCCAAAAGCAAACAGAGCAGTGGACTTTCTGACAGTGCTGTTGCCCCAGATACACCAGGCTGTGACCACCTCAGTTTCAGTAGCCAAGGTTTGTGTTGTCAAAACAGATTACTACACTGTTAAAGAATTACATCTCGCAATAAACAGGATGAATGGTTCAGAGGAATCACCTGGGTTCCCACAGCCCGATATTAAAGCATTGCCTTGTGAGGGGCTGCTTTCTGCCAGTTCTGATAGAATAGTGACACTCCTCTGATCTTCTGAATGATAAGCAGAGCCTGTGATAGCTGACAGAGTGGCAGGCCTCCCCTAGACAAATCTCTGTCCGGGGTAAGCCACTAACAGTGATTGATTTTATTTTTTTTTCTCCCCTTCCTGCAAATTTGTTGCTAGGAAATTCAATTGAGTGTGAGCTTTCCTCTGCCCTGCCACTGCTGCCAAATCGATGGTGAATAACTGGTGCTGCAAATGAATGCAGGGAACAAGATGTAGGGAGAGTATCTGTATCATGCCCTCTTTCATTATTTTTTACTTCACCTGTTTTGTACAATAGGAAGCATGATTGCTGGAACAGAACTGTCAACATTACAGCGCACTGCAGCTGGCCCCTTCATAAAAGCAAGTCATTTCTTCAATAATTAGTTGAAAGGTTACTATTGATTGAATGCTTAACACATTTGTGTGGCAATTCTCTATTTAATATTTCATCTGAAGCTGTTTGTATTTTTAAAAAATTAATCTTCCAGGGGGTGTGGGTGTCACTAGCAAGACAAGCATTTATTGCTTCCTTGTAATTGCCACTTGAACTGAATGGCATCTTTGGCCTTTTCAGAGGGCGGTATCATGAGACAACCACATTGCTCTAGGTCTGGAATCATGCGTAGACCAGACCAAGTAAGGATGGCAGATTTCCTTCCCTAAAGAATATTAGTGAACCAGAAGGTTTTTTACAACAATTGTTTAATTGCTAAAATTAGTTTTCAATTGCAGATTTATTAATTGAATTTAAAGTCCAGTAACTGCTGTGGTGCGATTTGAACTGACTTCCCCCAGATAATAGCCAGGTCTTTCGGATTATTGTCCAGTGATACAATAATTGTCCTACCGTCTCTGCTTCAAGATTTGAAGGTCCACCACTATCATCTTGGAGAAACACGGGATGCCCAATAAATGCAAGCTTTGCCAATTTTACAGGCAAACGATATTTTCACTGTTTAGACCCCACTGTAGGAAGAACAGTTGACTGGTTAACTTGGTGGTGCTGCAGAGTTAGCTGTGAGATGCTATCATTTATTTGGGGAAGGGAGTGTTGGGTAGTGTGGACAGCAAAAGAACATTCTTTTTTAAAAGGCATGGCCCAAGACTAAACTTCAAAGGTTACTTCATAGAAACATAAATAATAAAATGAAAAGAAAGAAATGTATGCAACATACAAATCTTCTGAGCAGTAGAAATATAGATCTGAGAGTGATGTGAGCTCAGTTTCTCGGTGCCTTCTCTTTGAAGGTTGTGTAAGATACAGAATGAGTGACGGATGATCTGTCTGAAGGCAGGTCCATGTTTCATTGTCTGCTGGTGCTTCATCCAGTAACTTTTTTATTGTTTTGGGCGATTTTTTTTTGTTGTGGTTTGTCATTATCTTCCATATCCCAGGGCAGGGCAAGGAGGCAGGTCCCAACAGTGGCTCAGCCTGAATGGGAATCCAACCCATGCTGTTGCTGAGATTTTGAACCATCCACTGAGTCTCGCCAACAGAGCTAACCAGTTCTTGTGAGAGTCAGGCCTGGCC